CACACAGACAGGACTTCAAAATCACAATGATGTCATTGTAGACAATCTAACCTGGTAAGGGACAAACAGAAGATCGACAAAGCTATTATGGGGTTACATCTTGAAATCTTTCCAAGCAGTAGTCGAAACTATTAATCAGAAAAATATTAAATGTGGCAGAAGTGAAAAGGACTATTTCTAAACCGCTTAGAGGTGAAATGGGACCTAGTAATTATTTTTTTTTCAATATTTTTTTTTTTTAAATCTTCCTATCGACGACTTTGCCGAATAAGGGGAACATATTAAACTCGATTATAAGATAACTAACATTTGAAATAAAATATACAATTCTGAGTGTTTAACAATAACATAAAGACCAATATACCAATGTTAAACTCAAAAAAAACAAACTGTAAACAATAAAATAATTATAACTGTCTCTGTGTTAGTGTGTTAGTAATGGGTAATGATTGCAATGGATGCCGAATTAATTGAATGAATCAATGAATCAATAAATGAATGAATATGGCAATGTTTCTAAATGAGTTTGGGTGATTATCAATGGCTTATCTCGGTAGTTTGGTTAGTAATAATTGTAATTTACAGTTAGTTATTAGTACAAATACATACGCACATACATATACATATATAGAGATGAATATTATTGTATTCAATTACAACAACGTTAATGTATCATATTTACACACGCACACATACACACAAATGCCAAAAATTATAATTGCTATTTAGTAATTGAAATTTACTGAATTTACTTAATTACAACTTTGAAAACACACACACACACGCGCGCATTGATACATTCACGACTGCAATTTGATATTATTGAGACGAGTTCTATTGCGGTTCTATAATTATTTCTGGAAATTTGATATTTTAAGGATAATTGAATACGCGTAAGTTACTTCTTCGCAAAGGATTTGAAATAATTATTACAGCGTAAATTACAAAATGCTTGAGTAACACATATAAATGTAAGTGGGTATACCAGCTATAATTATACCGAAGCACATACAGCAACTACAATGCACGCATTGCAAATAATCTATCATTACAAATTAACTATTAATGGTCCGCCTGCTCGCTATGAATTCTTTAGCTTATTATACCCTCCACCTTGGAAAGGAGGGTATATTAACTTTATCATTCCGTTTGTAACATCGCTAAATATTCGTCGTAGACTCCATAATGTGTATATATTCATAATCAGCATAAAATTCTTAGTCGATTTAACGATGTCCGTCTGTCTGTCGCTCCGTCTGTCTATTGAAATCACGATACAGGTCACATTATTTGACGTAGAGCGTCAAAATTTAGCAGAATAATTTGTATTGTGTTTAGGATGGTTGTTTATGAAAATAAAAATGGGGCTATACCACGCTTTGGTATAGCCCCCATACAACGGTACCTCCCGATATTCGGTATTTTGATGATTTTTGCCACATTTTTTCACGGATTTGTCTGAAATTTGGTATTTGTAGGTCATAGTGGGTCCTAGTTCGTGTGGCGAAACATTGCATGGAAAGGTCCATGATTTGGTATAGCCCCATATAACGGTATCTTACGATATTCGGTATTTTGATGATTTTTGCCACATTTTTTATGGATTTGTCTAAAAATTGGTATTTGTTGATCATAATGGATTCTACCTCTGTTGGCGAAACATTGTATGTAAAGTCGTTTTTGTATTGCCTTATATAGCGGTACCTCCCGATTTTCGATATTTTGATGATTTTTGCCACATTTTTCCACGAATATGTCCAAAATTTGGTTTAATTGGGTGATAATTGGTTCTAACGTTTCCATTGGAGGGTATTAAAAGTTCGGTCCGGCCGAACTTTTTGTTTTTTTTTACTTGTTTTTATTCTGCTATCTCACTATGAGTTCGCTAGGTCACTATGAGTTCATCAGCTCACTATTAGTTCGCCAGCTCTCTATGAGTTCGCCAGCTCTCTAGAGTTCGCCAGCTCTCTATGAGTTCGCCAGCTCTCTATGAGTTCGCCAGCTCTCTATGAGTTCGCCAGCTCATTATGAGTTCGCCAGCTCATTATGAGTTCGCTAGCTCACTATGAGTTCGCCAGCTCTCTATGAGTTCGCCAGCTCACTATGAGTTCGATAGATCAATATGAGTTCGCCAGCTCACTATGAGTTCGACAGATCAATATGAGTTCGCCATATCACTATGATTTCGCCAGCTCACTATGAGTTCGCCAGCTCACTATGACTTCGATAGATCAATATGAGTTCGCCAGCTCACTATGAGTTCGCCAGCTCACTATGAGTTCGAAAACTCACAATGGCTTGCAAGGTAATCATGAGTTCGCCAGTTCACTATGAGTTCGATAGATCAATATGAGTTCGCCAGCTCACTATGAGTTCGTCAGCTCACTATGAGTTCGTCAGCTCACTATGAGTTCGCCATCTCACTATGAGTTCGCCATCTCACTATGAGTTCGCCATCTCACTATGAGTTCGCCAGCTCACTATGATTTCGACCAAATCACAATGACTTCGCCAGCTCATTATGAGTTCGCCTGATTACTAAGAGTTCGCCAGCTCACAATGAGTTTGCCTTCTCTCTATAAGTTCGCCAGCTCACTACGAGTTTACAAGCTCACAGTAAGTCCTACAGCTTACTAAGGACGGACCTCTCGATTTAAGGGTTATTGTTCACCATAAGGATTAGTTTAATACCGTCAGATAACAGAGGGTGAAACATACCAAACGTACCATATCAGAAAACCAAATACATTTCAGGACATACGATCTAAGGTTGTCTGTCCGTCTGGCCGGCTGGTGTGTACGATAATTCTCGATGGAAGTATCCGATTTGGACCAAACTTGGTACAATAATGCAATATTATTACATATTAGACCGAGTTCGGAGATGAGCAATATTTGCCACTCCTTCTGGTACTTGCCCTAAAAGAGGTCAGAATTCTTAAAAAAAAAAACCAGTAAGGAAAGCTCAAAAGTCGGGCGGGGCCGACTATATGATACCCTACACCACTATGCATATTTAGTAGAGCTCTCGTAAAAAGGTTTATACAGGGCATTTCAGAGCTCTATGAGATATTTGACACAAAATCAAAATCTATCTAATTCTATCGTGCATTTTACGAACTATAGCTATCTCTGAACCGGGTTTCTCCTAATTTTACGTATTAGCTTCTAGACTGAATTCGGTCTTATGTACGAAAATTCAGGTGATTTGGGCTGATATTGACCATTTAGTGCACATTTAACCCTAAATCGGATGAAGATATATATGGGAGCTATATCCAAATCTGAACCGATTTCGATAAAATTTAAAACAGCTATTCCTATGCTCCATCTAATAGATTGTACCAAATATCACGGTTGTGGAGTGAATATTACGAATGTATGGAACTAAAACACTAAATCTGATGAAACATATATATGGTTGCTATATCTATATCTGAACCGATTTTCACTAAATTTGATATACTTGCTTCTAGGCTGAATTTGGCCCGAATTTGGACTTATATCGGCCATTTGGTGCACAATTAACCCGAAATCGGATGAAGATATATATGGGAGCTATATCCAAATCTGAACCGATTTCGATCTGGTACCAAATATCATTCTTTTGGAGTGCATATTACGAATGTGAGAGGCTTAAACACCAAATCGGATAAAACATATATATGGGAGCTATAGCTGTTTCTGAACCGATTTTCTTTGTTGTATTTGCTTTAAGGCTAATCTCGGTCACATGTGCCAAAATTTGGGCCATTTGGGCCGATATTGGCCATTTGGTGGTCAATTAACCCAAAATCGGATGAAGATATATATGGGAGCTATATCCAAATCTGAACCGATTTCGATAAAATTTAAAACAGCTATTTCTGTGCTCCATCTAATACCTGGTACCAAATATCACGGTTGTGGAGTGCATAGTAGGAATGTGAGGGACTTAAAGATCAAATCGGATGAAAGATATATTTCAATTCATTTCAATATTGGTATTTGAAGTTCTAAATAGATACTTTAGCCTAAGACAGAAAATTGTCTGTGCAGGTCCACGTCTTCGTATAACCCCATATAACGGTACCTCCCGATATTCGGTACTTTGATGATTTTAGTGACATTATTCACCGGAATTGTCTCAAATTTGGTATTTGAAGTTCGTAATGGATTTTACAGCCTATGACAGAAATTTGCCCAAGCAGGTTCAGGTCTTGGTATAGCCCCGATATAACGGTACGTCAATATATTCGGTATTTTGAGTTTCGTATTTGAATATTGTAATGGCTTATGACAAAAGTTGTCTATGCAGGTTTACGTTTTTGTATAGACCCTAATATAATGGCTGTATTCGGCATTTTTACGGTTTTTACAGAATTTATAAATTCGTTCCAAATGGAGTGGAGGATATTCAAAGTTCGACCCGGCTGAATTTACTGTTTTTTTATTTATTTTTATCTGCAATATTGCTGAGGACACTTTATACCTAAAACGCAAGGATATCAAGGAATCTTAATCCGAAATTTTCCAAAAGTGTCGAAGAGGGGGGAACTTATCCCCTCTATTCAGGTAACTTTGCGATACAAACTTTCAAAACTCCGACACACGGGTCTCCTTTTTTTAGTTATACTCTCACTATTGTTACCTCTCACGAAGTAGCGGGCATTAGCTAAATTCATCTAAAATATGCAATTACATGGGTAGAGGAATGCCTTAACCATTTCCTGTCTATCTCCACCCTCTTCTTTGCATTGAATACATCCATTCTTCAGATGTATGCATTATTACTTGCGTATGTGTGTGTGTGTGTGTGGTAAGTTGAAATGCTTTCAATTTCTCTCATCTCATCATTAACTACTCAAGTTCGAATTATTTCGTGCGGCATACAATTACAATAATATTCATACTCTTGTTGTTGTTGTTATTGTTCTTGTTATTCAAAATTGTTAGTTGTTGTTCTTATTGATGAAGTAGCTGATGATGACAAACAATTCAAATTGTTCGCCAAATCTTACCACTGTGCATTCGCCGAATGTGAGCCTTAAGCTTTTGCGGTCGATAGAATTTGCGACCACAAAAATCACAAATGGGCCGGGTGCGATTCGGATTGGCCACACAGCCATAGGTTCGATGCATATCCAAATAGCTGATGCGCAAGAAGAACTTGTTGCAGAACTGGCATTGGTGGGCACCCTTGCCGTCGTGTTTCTCGGCCGCGTGCTTCATGATGTTGTCCTTGCCCAGTACGGCTTCGCCGCAAACCTTGCAGTGATATTTGCGTATTGTCAAGCTCATTGTGGGATCATGGAAGATGGAACAGTGGGTGCGATAGTACAGCGGATGATCGAACTTCAAATTGCAGCCACCGCAATCTGAAAGAGAAACATTTTAAAATCTGCCATATTATGGGCATAAGGTTCAAACCTGACTTACTTGTCTTTTCCGACCAGTGCTTCTTGCGCCACATGGTGTTGCAGTCATCACTCCAGTACAGCAATTCCATGCCGTTCTTCAAGTCCCGACATGTCACGAAAAATGCCTGAGATTCGATAAAGACCAAATTCACATTACGCTCCTCGTAGGTTGGTGCCGGCCGTATGTAGCGCAACCAGTTCGAAGAGTTAGGGTTGTCACACAACAGGAATTGAGATTTCTCTGCACCGGCTTCACAAATTTCGAAAATCCACTTCATATCGCTGGCCTCACGAATTTCTGTGGCCTGAACCGATTGCCCCCGCAGTGGACCCAGTTTGGTAAAGGCCCTAACCTCGGTGCGACAAAACACTCCCGTCACATGGGGTTCCACATTGTGCAGCTCAAATTCAGCCGGCACCGATGCCTCGGCAAATGTTATCAAAGGCTTCGTCTCAAGTTCGGACAGCTGTGAAGAATCATCCATGTCCTCATCAACGTCGCCATGCAACTGTTTCGCCTGGCGTTGGGCATCTGCCTTGAGTTTGGCCAAGGCTTCAAGATTTTTCCTCTCCAACCATTCCGCCAAATCCACGGCATCCGTAACAGTGCCAATGGCTGTACGCAGGGGACAAACCTTATAATCGTGGGCAATGGAACACTCGCGACACGACTGATGCGAACGGAATGCAATGTCCAATTCATCTTCTTCCTCCACGAAGTTCTGTTCATTTTTCATTTCTCGCGCCAAGGTCTCCTCATCTGGTTCCTCTTCCTCCTCGTCATCATCACTGCCCTCCAGGCCGGCACCACAGTCCTCATCTTCATCCAGATAAGAAGCAGGTGGTGGTGGATTCATATTTTTCGCCGCACCCTTTTTACCCTTCACACGCATATGGAAATTGCCATTGGCCGCATTGTTCAGACTATCCACCGTTTCACCGGTCATGGAAGCTGTGCCAACATCTTCCTCATCGTCTTCTTCATCATCACCGAAACCATCGCCCTTCTTTAGACACAAGGCCAGCGACTCTTTCGATGCAGACTTTTCCTCCATTTCACTTTTGATTTTCTCAGCAATGCGACAATCCAGAACCTCCGGCACCACATCGCCTGTTGCATTCTCAGCCCCAGCCGCAGCACCGGCTCCAGCCCCAGCAGCCATTTGCTTTTTGGCTTTCAATGCAAAATTCGAAAAGTTTTTCAACTTATTGAGACCATTGAGGTTATCGTTGAATTGCACCCGCTTCCGATATTTGCGTTTCGTTGGCGGTGGAGCTGTATCACCCGCCAGACTGGGGGTTTTACTGCTGCCCGGGCCGGGTGTGGTGCCGCTAATACTTGGACCATTTTCTCCCGTTTGACTGTTGCTGCCAAAATCTTTGACACTAAGATTGGGTTCCAACTTGAAGTTGCTGTCAAAGGATTTGGTTGGTGTTGTCGACGCCGATGGTGGTGGTAAGCTGAAAGAAGGAAAATGAGGTCGAGATTAGAAGTTTGTTTTCGATAAAGATATAATGTTTTTTGAGCGTCATAAATGCAAATATAATCCCGGACTATAAATAATGAATAATCAAGTTTGAGATAAATCTCCTAGTAGGCGAAAGGCACACGCAAGAATGGAAAAAATCTGAATATAACTTAAACACATGTGTCATTTGTAAAGGTAAGGTGAATAATTCGACAGACAAAAGTAAGGCGGATCCGATTTTATAATTTTCATATTTTACAGAATTTCTAAATCGTTATTGAATGGAGTTTTCAGCCAGAGCTCAAAAATGCTCGAGTAAGTTTCACTCTCTACTCGAATTCGAGCCGAAATACTCCTACGAGTGAAAGAAGAAATCGGACATCTATGCCACGAGTGGGAGTAAAATTCCGAGGTAGTAAAACCAAGCAGCTCTCAGCAACATCAAAACCTGTTTGCCACCTAACTACACACACACATGAACACAGATTATGTGTCAAATATCATTGTTGTCGAGTGCATATTACGCATGTGAGGGACTTTAACACCAAATCGGATGAAACTTATATATGGGAGCTATAGCTATATCTGAATCGATTTTCACCAAAAATTTGAAGTACGTTCTTCTGGGCTGAATTCCGTTAGAAGTGCCAAAAATCAGTCCATTCGGGCTGATATTAGCCATTTTGTACACAATAAACTTGAAATCGGATAAAGATATATATGGGAGCTATACCCTAATCTGATCCGATCTCGTTGAAATTTGACAGATGTATTTTTGAGCTTCGCAAGTTATCTGGTACCAAATATCATTCTTGTGGAGTGGATATTACGAGTCGCAGTGGCCGAAAAAATGGCTCGTGAGCTGAACATATCGCAATATTCCATTCGGCAAATATAGAAAAATGAGCTCGGAGTAAAGCTATTGAAATTCCAAAAAGTTCAAGAACTTACACCGCAACAGAAAGAAAATAGGTGAACTGCCCAATTTGGTTTTCTCCGATGAGAAAACATCCGTTGTAAACAAACAGAATGATCGTGTTTACCTGCTAAAGAGGTCAGCTGAAAATTTGCACCTTCGGTTGAACACCAGAACTCAAGCGCCGGCGATGGTGTGGGCCGTGTGCGGCCATAACAATCGATGGCCGCTCTTCGCTCGTATTAATCGACCGTGGCATTAGAATAAATGCCGAATATTACCGCGAAAATATTCTGGACTTTATATTAAAGCCTTGGTCACGCAAACATTTTGGCCGCAGACCTTGGACATTCCAACAGGACTCAGCACCATCGTACTCAGCACGCACTACCCAAGAATGGGAAAAAAATGAGGTTCCTCGCTTCATTTCCAGCGCACAATTCGTTGGACTATTCCGTCTGGAGTATTTTAGAAAGCAAGGTTGGCACTAAGAAATAAAAAAGTGGCGATCAAGCAAGCGCTTCGCCGGGAATGGGCCAAAATACCACAGCAGCGTGATACGGTTTCATTGGCCGTTTGAAGGCCATAATTCGTGCCAAAGGTGGCCAATTCGAACAAATCTAAACTTATTCTAAAATTTTATGTTATTTCCGACATTTTTTGTCTTGACTCCATAAAGTTTAAAAAAAATGTTAAAATAATGACCTGTATATGGATGCTATATCGAAAGTTCAACCGATTCTCACCAATTTCAGTAGGGTTCGTCTTTGGCCAAATAATTATTTTTTGCAAAATTCCATTTCAATCGAATAATAAATGTTACCTTTACAAACTGGTGCAATATATGTTGATATCTCTTATAGTTTCGAATATATTAAGCCTCGGTCGAAAACCGTCTACTTAGACAAACTATAACAGTTACATACATATTAGTGGATATAATCCTAATTTCAAGATATCCTCGGAACTACAAGAGATATCGGCATATTTGGCACCATTTTGGAAAAGGCAAAATTGTAGGCCATAATGTAGTATGCAGATCTTATTACCTCATAATAGGTAAATTTTCGAGTTCTTAGGGGTTTTTTTTAAAAGCTGGAATGGTATTCCTATAAGCTTTCAAATTAAAAAATAATTGTCCTTATCACTTTTGTGGAACCGGATTTTGTATCCGAGTTTTCTGGTCGAATAAGAGGGTAATCAGATATATCCCCAAGGAAAAATTACTTTGCATAATCAGGTTAAAAATGCCTTCCCCATAATGGGGTTTATGTCCGCAATCCGCTAATTACTGGGGATTATGATTTTTTGGGACATAATCCCTATTCCATATGGGGGTTATGACTGAATAAACCGGCCATAATCTCCATAGTTTTAATGGGGATTATGTCCGTGGGAATTTTGAAACGGCACCGACGCCGAGGCTCGATCTCATAATCATCGATTTTGTAGTCGGAGGAGGACACCCCATGTCCTATGGTTCTCATGACTTTGTAATAAGAAAAATCAGTTATTTTGCTTCGTATTTTTGATGGTAGGTGGTTTGTTTACATTACTTTTGAATGGGTCATACAAATCCCAAATTTTTGCTGGGTACTTCTACTAGTTCAAATACGTTCCGTTATAAATAAGTATTCAAATTGTACTAATTGTATCGTCTTAGAAGATGATAATATGAAATGTGTTACTTAAAAGTCCTGCCCCTTCCATGTGACAGAGGTTTATTAAGTTTTTCTTTTCGTTTATGGTAACATTTTGTAAATATGTCTATTATTGTCGACACATTATAAAATCAATTTAACCCTGTCCGCCCGTCTGTGATAATTCCGCTTTGAACGATTTAAAGTAGTAATTGTGCAGGAGAATAGACCAGATATGGATCTACAAATTACTGAAGCATTCAATGTCTTTCACTTTTCTCATATTTATCTCAACATAACTACATAAATACATGTGAATGCCTATTCAAACATCATATCTTCGTAAGAGCCCCAAAGGTATGGGATGCCTACCTACATTTCATTGCCCGCTTTGTTTACTCTTCCTAAGAAATGTTAACCCAAAATGCGTATGCTCCTTCATGCATACAGGTGCACAAGAAACTGTGTGTGTGTGTGTGCTTGTTTGAGGGTGTGCGTTAAGGAAAATATTTGTTTTCCCGCTTGCATTAAGAACGCGAATTCGTACAAAATCAGACACATCTACACATATAATTTCGCAGATGAATTTTCATCTGTGAGGGGTGGTTCTTACTTTTCTGTGTTTGCAATATACAACATCTTGCAGAACACATACAATGTCTTAAGTATACTTGGTCTGCCATTTCCATCTCCATCCCCCTCTCCCACCCTAACACTTCGAATGCACACAACCCACATCCTTAAGCAAAATATAGGATTTTTGTTATGACTTTCAAGAGATGCTGAATGCCATCGGTACACATTTGTTGGACAGATGGGTTTTAGTGTTTGTATTTATTCGTCTTCTTATTATGTTTTCGTATTTTGGACTGACTAATGGAATTGCCATTTGGGGGTTTATTTTCGTTTTGCCAGTTTTCCCTTTCACCACACTGACCAGAGAGCAGTCTGCAGAGGAGAAAAGCAATACCGATTTCCATACAAGTTGTTTGCCAAGAAAAACATCAATCCATTGATCAATCAGAAAAAATATTCATAAATGTCAGAGGACTATAAATTTCGAAGAAATGGGTCGACATTGTCCATTTCGTATCTGATAGACAATCCGTGAAAAAATGTCACAAAAACTATCAAAATACCGAATATCGGGAGGTACCGTTTTGGTATAGCCCCCACACGTGGACCGATATATCTCATTTTCAATACCAACCATCCTAGACACAATACAAATTATTCTGCTACGTTAAATAATGTGGCCTGTATCGTGATTTCAACAGACAGACAGAGTTAATGACAAAGGAATGACAAAGTTAATATACCCTTTTTTCCAAGGTGGAGGGTATAAAAATGGTATTAAAATGTTCAACTTTGGGGGAAGGTGCCACAAGGAGTAGGTCCATAGACTCCTTATTCACATCAGATCCCTGGTTGAGAGATATTTAAATGTATCAAGTTTAAAAAGAAACGCTTGTTTGTTTCGCAAGTTACAAGATATATAAATTCTAACAATTGTGATCCGTTGTGGGTGAGGTACCAGGAGGAGAGGACCGATATATCTTTTCTTCATATCAAATATTTTGTTAATAAAAATATTGGGATGTGTGAAATATGAAGAGAATCGGGTGCATATTTCGTATTTTCTGAGACGTATAATGACCAGCAGTAGTTGACCGATATTGCATATATCCGAACTCGATCTAAGTTTGATAAAAAGATTACGATGTACCAAGGTTCAAATCGGACACTTCCTTCGAGAGTTATCGTGCACACCAGACAGACACAGATGGACGGACATCTCTAGATCGAGTCCAAATGTCCTGAAAAGGATTTTGTTTAAAAAGACCTAGGTGCTAAAGGTCTTTCATCACCCCAAGCTTTGATACCCATTTTATGTCAGAGTGGCAATGATGATTTAAACTTAGGGCCTGCATTTGTGTGATGATACAAAAATTATCTGCCAGAGAAGGAGGTGATGCTGTTGAAAAGTCTATATATATATATATATATGTATATGTATATACATATATATACTAGCTGAACCCGGTTTTATATGCCTTGAAAATTTAATTTTACGAATATTGGAAATTGGAGGTATATACCGTGTTTGGTGCATCAAATGTGTGAAATCGGCCGAGAGTATATATATGAGAGCTATATTCAAATCTTAACAGATTTCTAATTAATTTGTCAAATTTATTATTGTTACCAAATTTCGCCACACATACTGAATTTCATTGGAATCGGACATACATATCGGACATACATGTAATCGGCCGCCATACATATGTATGGTGTTGGAACATCAAATATATGAGATCGGCCGAAAATATATATGGGAGCTACATCTAAATCTGAAACGATTTCGATATAATTTGACAAATTTATTTTCGTATCAAATCCTGTTACACATTCCAAATTTCATTGGAATCGAACATA